TAACGTTACGCAAGCCGACCCGGGATACCCTATGAATAGGGATTTTTAAGCGAGCAATTATTCAGAGTATTACAATAAATAAAGACATATTATTCAATAAATATTTAAATTTTATTATCGAAAAAAATTTCTTTGTAAAGATCTAAGTACAAATAACATTTTTGAAAATCGAATGAAATACATATTTTCTCTAATTTCACCTCTAAGTTTTATAATATTTCCTTTTTTATATATAAAAAATAATTTAAACTCTTTCCAATGATCACTATATCATTCATTTAATACATCTATTAATAAATCAATATCTGATTCATTAACATTTCCAATTATACCACGAACTATTATTTTCATTTCTCTATTATTTTGATTTTTTAAAACAATAATTCCATATTTAATACCTCCATGATTTTTTGAAAAATCAAACATTTCATATATACCAACTTGAGGTTCTTTTTTTAATTTATATAATTCATCTATTATATCATCTGTAAAATTATTTGATAATGATGTATTTATTTTTTTAAATAAAAGTAAATAAATGAAAAAATAAATTAAAATTTTATTCATCTTTAATAAAAAAAATTATATTATTTATTTGATATTTATATATTTATAAATTAATAATTATCTATAATTATCTCTAAATTTTTCTTTCATGAAATTTATTACTTTTTCATTAGGTTTTAATTTTTTTTGATTAAAATTTACTATTTGTAAATTATTTGGATCAGTAGCTCGGGAAAATTCTACATATAATTGTTGACTTTGGAAAACATTTTTACAATTTACTATCAATCTTCGAATCATTAATCCTTGTGATTTATGTATAGTAATACTATAACTTAATATTAATGGTAATTGTTTACGGGTAACCATTAAAATACCATCATTATTTCGTTTTTGAAATATTCTTGGTTTAATTTCTATTTCTTCTTCTATATCATTAAATTTAACAATTGGAACTAAAAAAACTGAAGCTACATTTTCAGGAACTTTTTTTCTATATATAGTTTTACCATTCTTAAATCCAACTATTATTCCAGTAGATCCATTAACTAATTTACTATTTTCTTTCACATTCCAAATATATAATACTTGTACACCGATTTTTAAATTTATTCTTGTTTCTGATAATATACTTTTATCTAACCATTCAATCAATTCTTCATGTGTTGGTTTTTGATTTCTACTACTATTATTTTTAGCAACAGACCATTCTTCTGTTTCAAATAATAAATTTTTACCAGGAAGATCGTTTAATTTATTTCTATTACATATTTCAACTTCATCAACTGTTGCAAAAAGTTTTGTTTGTTCTTCACCATCATTATATTTAATTAATCGTGCTAAACTTTTAATATATTTAAGAAAATCAAGATCTATTTCTCCAAATCTCATTTTATTAAGACCATCGATAAAATCCGTATCTGTTTGTCGATATGGTTTTTTCAACATAACATATTTCTCAATTATTAAATCCCAAACTTTACTTTAAATGCATAATTTCCCTTTATGGGTTTTAACTATAAAAAATCACCTGATAATACTAATTGAATTTCACCAAATAGTTTTTTATTTTTATGTATTTCCTGTGCAATCTGATCAATGAAATTAAATGTATCTGAATTTATCATAGAAATCTCATCAATTATTAATATTTTTGTATTAATCCATCTATTATAATAAAAAGCATTTTCTTTTATAAATTTAATTATTTCTTCAAATGATTTATCTATAATACTGATATCTGTGTAACTATATAATGTTTTACTACCTATATTTAATGCAGATAAACCTGTTGATGAAGTAACACCAATATTATTTTCACCATATTTTGCATATAATTTTTTAATCAAGCCATTTAATGTAAAAGTCATTCCACAACCTCCTGAACCTGTAAAGAACAATAATTTTTTTTCATTCATAACAATATCAATTATTTCTTGTTGTTCTGGTAATAACATTTCTTCAGGATTTTTATTATCTTTTTCTATTTCATCATCTATAACATTTTTTTTACTTGGTTTAAATTTTTTACTATTATATTTTCCTTCATTATTTTTACGTTTAAGTTTACT